CACAGACAAGCTCTGCAGCTGTTGGAAAGAGCAGCTTTAGCCACGTGCCAAGGTTACCTGGTTCTGAGCATCACTGTTGGCATGATGCTCCAGTAACAGCCCTGCTACAGCTGTGTTTTTAGAGAGGACAGCCAGGTGAAGGGCAGTGTTGCCGTCAGCGTCTGCCAGATTGGGGTCGGCACCGTGTTCCAGCAGAACAGCAACACATTCTTCCTGCTCCTGCTGGACTGCCTGGCAACAACACACCAAAAGGGAAAGACTTCCAACTTTTCCATCCCCCTCTGTCACAACGCCCTCAGCTCCTGAGTGCTGGCATAGAAGACCATCTTCAAAGATCAGCTAACAGAGGCTGTGCCGTGCCCATTGCAATAGGCGTGTTTCTATGGCCCTGTGGTGCAAGGAATCCCTCCAGACACCTCCCCTTTAACACACCAGCACTAAGCCCCACTGGGTCCCCTGGTGGTCTAGTGGTTAAGATGCGGTGCTCTCACCACCACGGCCTGGGTTGGATTCCCGGTCAGGGGACTTCCCCGGGCAGATGGAGCTCGTCAGCCCTGTAAGGCCATCCATCTAAGAGAAGGTCACTGTAAACAAACCTACATCCTGAGCACCTCGCTGCCACTGTCCAAGTTCGCTCGGCCCTGGCAGATGAACCTCAGGATTAAAGGGTGGGCTCAGTTCAGCGTACACTGTGTCTCACCTAAAAAATCCACTGCGCAGGCTCGAAGGGTAAAAGACCTTTCCCAAATCTTTGTTCGTGAAGACCCCCACCTCCAAGCTCAGAATGGCATTCCACGCACCTTCATCAGGGTTGTTCTCTTGAAGTTGTCAGCAAGGTTGGGCTGGCTGTTCTTTCTTAGCAGATATCTGACGACATCTGCATGGCCATTGGCTGAAGCCAGATGCAGAGGTGTCCTGAAAATTAAACAGACTCTCTTAACCCAGACAGACAAAGGATGAGCCCAAGCTGTGTCTGTACCCAGCACCCTGGGGACCCTGCCCGGACTCTGCTCCTCCTGCTGCTGCTACTGCTGCTGCTGCAACCCTGCCCTGATGAGCCAGAGGGCAGAAGAGAA